CATCACTGGTAGTGGTGGTGATTTTTTTTGGTTGGGATGTTATATCCAAGTGCACTGTTATATATCTATCTATATATCTATACACTCATCTAGTTATAGCATAGACATACACATACATAGACACACACATAGACGACAACCACATACATCAGCCAGCAGTTAGATAATGAGTATCAATGGCATCAAATGGTGCTCTCCATCAGTGTATGTGTGTGTGTGTGTTAGTGTATCATTGCATAACTTACATCACTGAGACCCCGGAGTAAACCACTCCCCAGTGGTAGTGGTATACAGTATAAGCCATAAGCCATTTGTTATACCAATTTTGTTTCACACAACAAATATAAAGTCGTAAATCAAATAACTTTTTTAGTGTACAATATAGTTAGTGATGTACCGATTGCAAAATGCGCAATTGCATTGCTCGGAAATTGCGTGAAATTGCGTGAAATTGCTTGAAATTGCGTGAAATTGCCGCAATTGCAAATCGCAATTGTAACATAGAAAAATTTATAATTTTAAAAAAATTAACTAAATTTAAATGGCAAAGCAATATGAATAAAATCATAAACTTAATTATAAAAAAATTTAATTATTTTATCATAAAATGTTGCTATCTAAAAAAAACCATGTAAAAATAATAATAAATTAGTAAATTCTCTTAATCTATTGTAAACAAAATTTATTTTAACGTTGTAAAAAGTTAATTTTTATACATTCCCTCATGCGCGCAATTTCACGGAAATTTTCAGCAATAATTGCGGCAATCGAAAATTGAATTTCCGAAAAATTACCATCACTAAATATAATATATAAACAAACAAAAAAATTATGCAATTTTTTTAGTATTTGATAGTTAAATGTTTTGACAAATTTCCAAATTTTATACAGTATTTATTAATACATTAATACAGTATTGTTTGCTACAAATAAATTAAATACAAAAATTTATTATTAGTTTTATAATAATATTTTTGTTTCAATACAAGATAGCGCTAGTATGACCATGTTAATTTTTCCAAATTTTTTTTTTATTTTTTAAACATTACTAAAAATATTATACATAAAAAACTATATAAAAAAAACTAAAATAAAATTGACTTTTGATATTTTTAGAAATTATTTTATATGTTTTTTTTATTGTCTATCTATAGTTTATATTATTTGAATTAATTTTGATTACAAATTAATGCAAATTTATTATTATTATTATTATTATACAATATATTGTGATTAAATTTAATATTATTTTGGACATAAACTGTAAGATTACTATAAATTACATTACTATATATTTTCAAAAAAAAAATAATTAATTAAAACTTTTAATACTAACTTAAATTAATTATTAAAAATAATATTTTGAATAATTAATTCAAAAAACATTTAACATATAAACAATATATATATATTTTGTTAATTTGATTTTACAAATAAATAATCTATAATTTTATTGCTCATAATTGCTTAAAAACACTTAATTTTTATTATTATTAATTATATATATATTTTTTAATAATAAACAATTTATTACCATGTATATATTTCCAGTCATATAATATAATTGGCTATTAATTTAATTAATTTTTATTTTTTTAATAGTTTGATTGATAAATGAGATTAAATAACATGAAAATAGGATCATATATTATAATATTATATTAAAAAAAAAATTTTAGCCAACAATTAGTTTTGTTTTTGTTTTTTTGGTGCCGGAAATGATTTCCTGGAGAGAAATTTAAACAAAAAAAAACTAAAATCTAATTATTATTATTAGTTAATAAAAAAAATAAAATAAATAAATAAACATTCAATAAAAGTAAAAGTAAAAATTATTATTATTAATAATAATAATAAGTTAAAATTGTAAATAAACATGATGTGGATAATAAAATTTAAAAAAAAAATAAAAAACTTTATTAGCCAATAAAAATTTATCATTTTTTTAAAAAAAAATTAGTATATAATTAAATAAATGGGTAGTAATTTATAATAATAATAAAAAATAACAAACAATTTTATGCATATATATAATATCATATTTCATATTAATATATATATATTTCATTTATATAATATAATATTTGTAACAAAATTTTTATTATTATTATTATTATAATTTATAATTAACTATAACAAAAAAAATTGATATTCATATTTGTTAACTCGTTATATAATTTATGGCCTAAAACACATACACATATAATATGATAGTATATATATATATATATATAAAAATTATTATAAATATTATAAAACAGTATTATTATTATTATTATTATTATTATAAATGTAATCAATAGTGAAGTGAGGCATAGATTTATTATTATTATTAGTTTAGTTTTGTTGAAACAATTATATATTAATATACTGTTGTATATAATTGTATGATGTGTTTGAAATGCATAAACAGTATATACTGTATGTATGTATTTTGTTAGATAATATTGTATTAATTATTATTATTATTATATAGTTTACTATGATTTCCAGTTAAAAA